TCTCTCTCTCTCTCTCTCCCTCTCTTACACACGCGCGCGCGCGCACACACACACACACACTCACTTCCTCGGCGCTCCTATACGAAGCTGCTATCTAAACTACTTTTATACGACGCTAATCGTTTTTCGACCGCTCTTTTCGACCTTCCGCGCTATGTATAATATTCGTAGATTTTATCGGTTAATACGAGAAATACGATTGGATTTATCGGCTCGATGTGTAATTTCGGAGATACAACTATTGGTCGCGTTAATCTAACGTAGGAGCGAGTTTTCTTGATATGTGACATTTCGCAAATATATCGTTTTGTTTATCGTAAATCGAGAATATTGGAAAGGCGCGATTGAAATATGCGTATGAATTTCTGTACGTCTATGCGCTTATTGACAGCCGAAAGGGATTATGCGTTTAGAAAGTTTATTATCAAAATTAGTCTTATGGCGCGCTAGAAGAAACGCGAAGATTTTAAAAAGCTACTTTCATTTGTTTGTATGTAAGACTTTAATAAATCACTAAGTATTTTTATTCTGTTATTGGTTTAAAATCCAAAGTTCCGAATATGAAGTGGGAAGACTGGGGAATGAAAGACTTACGAAGACAAGGGAAAAGACGAATGAGAATGAGTGAAGCGTAAGACTATCCACGGAAAAATAAGTACAATAAATTAGAAAGAAAAGGAAGATTAGAGAGATAAAAAAAAAACAAAGAGAGAAGCAGAGAGATAGAGAGAGAGAGAAAGAGAGAGAGAGAGAGAGAGAGAGAGAGAGAGAGTGATTGAGGTTGAGAAAGGATGGATGAAGGAGTGGGGAAAGGAGATGGGGAGGAGGGGAAAAATTGAGAATGGATAAAAAGCTACAATGACGAGATAAATAGAGATAGTGGTATAATGAAGAAGAGGAAAAAAGAGGAGATAAAGATTCGCGTGTGCGAAATGTCGATGCCCGCACACAATGCTTTTTAAAGACCGCGTGTGAATATCTTCCTACGTAATAATATTCTGCCGTCATCCTCGTCGTCGTCTTCGTCGTCGTCGTCGTCGTCGTCGCCCTCACCGTCAAACTGTTCTTTCACACCACGCCCATGCAAGTCTCAATACGCGCGTGTTCGTGTCCGTTTATTCTCCATACATTCGCACGACCAGGTGAGCATATGGCAGCAGTACCACATGCATTTGTACGCCTTTTTTTTTCATCATTTTACATCTCGATGTTTATTTATAACTGTGCCATTGTCGCTGCTATTATACTCTACGCTCCCGTGTAACTTTGCACAAGAATCTTTTTCAAGCGAAAGTCCTGCTGGCGTTATGCTGCGATGTTGAATATCTAGGCAATGAGTCAATTCTCATGTCATTCAAGTTGATTTCTATGCGCCTCTTATTACGCGTTCTAAACAGGAATTTGCAGAATTTGCCTCTTAAGCATTGTTCTGCCGACTGCTAAATCGTTGCTAAAACGTTTATGAGATGTAAGGATTTTCATATCGATCGCCAATCAACAAAGCTGCCGCATTGAGTGTAAATTTTAATGTTGATGTTGTTCGAGATGTTGCTTAAGGCGCATATCTACTTATCTCCTATTTTCGTTGGCTTTTTAGATAAACATTAGCCAGCTGTTAAAAATTCCATTGTTTCCAATGGCTATCGTCAAGTAACTCAACAGCATAAGGATCAATTATTTTTTAAATAGAGTCCAAATAATTTTCTCTCCTTTTTTTTTCATTCGTGATAATTCATTACCAACGTCAATGAATGATGACTATTATAAGAAGTAGCAAGGATGTATTAGTATATTTAATGACTCGGTAAGCTAGCGATTTGTATTCTAATGTCGTCTCAGTTCACTAAATAATCAAGCATGAAATTTTAGCATATTACAATCTAAATGAAAAAATTTAATAAATTTTTCTCAAATCTATTTGCAGTATTCTTTGAATTTTATGATTATTTTATTATAAGAATAATAAAGATAATTTCGTAATAGCGAAAATGTTTTATAAAATTAGTTTTTCACCCATATGTAAAATAGTTGGCACTGTGAAAAACCGCAATTATGAGGCACAAGACAGTAAAGACAGTTTTAAAAGTAATTTTCGCCTTAATGCTCTGTTGCACAGCAACATCAAGAATCTTGATTAAGAAAGTTCACGTTTAATAAAAGAAACAGCGTGCGAGTATTATAATAATAAAGTATTACATCGAGAAAATTCAGTGAAATCCGCAATTTTCCCATACTAATTACCGATGCGATATCGCAGTACATGTGATTTCTGATGAGGGAGATCGTGAATTTTTGCCCCAAGACGCTTACGCGGACGAGCTGCAAGTTGATAGCTATCAAAGTCAAGAGCTGAAAGATGCAATAAAAGGCGATTTCATATTAAGGTTAGATTTACGATAGATGTCACGTGCCTGACTTTTATACACGAAGCAAAGAGAATTAGTTGATTTTAATTAATATGTGCATAGGTTCATGTAAGTCTGGTCAATTGTTGATTTTAAATCGTTACGTGCGCGGACATTGAGAATTTTAATGTCTTCATTGTGCACGAAATAAAAAGGGCTTTTATTTTTACGAATGTTAATTAATATTTTTCTCAATCTGCGATCGATCGATCGATATGCCAAATGATAATTTGATCTAGAGAGTATATTTGAAGTTTCTATTATGATATTCACGCACCATATTATTGATCAATTTAGCTCGATTTAGCCATTTTGCAGGTCGGATATCGATTACATTACCCAATTACTAACGTTATTAGTTTCTAAATTTTATATTACATACTTTTCAGCTTTTTCGACACTCTAATGTAAAATAAATGATAAAAGACAACATTTATTCACTATACGTTATTCATAAATATTTTACAGCTAAAATTTTAATAGAGTTGGAGAGTTAGAGAGAGAGAGAGAGAGAGAGAGAGAGAGAGAGAGAGCGAGAGAGCGAGAGAGCGAGATATATATATATTTCTGTTTTTTTTTTTAACGAATATAGAGAATTATAAATAAAAATGGAATCGAAGCATTTACGTGATTAAATTGGCGAGGCACGCCTCCTACATCGCATAAAATAAATTATGCCCGTATGATTATTATATTAATTATACTTCAAATTAGATAAATCGAGATAACATTCAACAGACGCTAAAAACGTATATTTTTACAGAAATGACGATCTGTTGTAATGCACACCTCAGCACTCGAGCGATTAATTGCCCGTCGGACGGTCCGTGCTAACGGCACAATTGTAAATCGAAGGTGCCGAAAACCGAATGACATCACCTCTTACCGCGTATCGCGACGGTAACAAAAGGCGCCAATCATACATGCACTTGCGCCCATGAATTTTGTCGGCTCGTAAAACGCGTGGAGGAGACGGGCGTAATCGCGATTTATAACGGCGAAGTTGCGGCGAAGCTTTGCGCTTTCTTTTTACCTCGCGGGGAACGGGTCACGATGAGCTTACGCTTGTATATCGTTTAGGTGAACATTGGCATTAATCGCGTAAGAGAGGATCGCGATGACTTTAATCGGTGCCGCATGAGGAAGTCATCCGAGCTTCGGATATGACTTCGATTCGAGTGAAACATATATTTTGCAATAAACGTTGCGAGATGATGCATAATTATTACTTAAATTTATATTCATCGGATGAATATGACGTTTATTTTATTCGTCCTTGAAATCCATCGTGATAGTTTGGAGTACTGATTCTTTCTCTAATCGTGGCACTTGATATAACGCTATTATTAGGCAACGAGAAGCAAATTTGTATAAATTTAGTCGAGTCTGCTTTAATAGCACGGTAATCAATATTTTTGTACTACGCGGAGATATTAATTATCGTCAATGAACGTTTTATTAAATCGACTGATAGTTATTTAAAAATTATATATATATTTCTTTTATTCTTTTTTTTTTTCTTTTCTTTTTTTTTATTTTTTTTTTTTTATGTCATATATATATATTTTTAAGCGACGGAACTTTTTGCCCTCGCGCGCACTCTTACAATGAGATAAATTTGTTCTTGGCGCATAATTATAACAAGGCGTAATAAATATTATTTAATTGCAAGAAGATAAAAGCTGCGTCTTAATTGGTTGTGGATCATATTCGTTTCGTTCTGTTTATTTTTTCTTTATCAATCTTTAATAATTAATTTTAATATGACAAATAAATATAGGCTTATTAATAAATCTCTCGAGAGCGTTGATTAACGCTCGATTGATATACATATATATATATATATATATATAAAAATCAATTAGTGCGGATATATGTCCAATCACTTTATACAGAGATGAAAGTTTTCAATGCGATACATTGTATCTACCGCTGCTGAACGTTAACGTACGAGCCACCAAATATCAAATCTAAAGCATTTCATTTTATATATTCGGCGACGTCTTTTCGTGACGACGTTGGTAAAAGAATATTTATTAGCGCCGTGGCAATTAAGCAGTCGTAATCTAAAAATGATATACGACAGCGAGACGATCGATTTTATAAAAACGGAGTACCATAAACCATGTGAGTCTTCCAGCGTTCCTACAGTACCAGTGAAAATCCAAAGCACTTTTCACTGAGGCTTTATGCAAATCGTCTCCAGCTGAGATGAGCGCTGTAAACAAACGAAAAAGTGTCTCCTAATAATATCTCGGCAAGAATCGACTTAAATATAAGAGGCGGAGAGCGGCAAGCGATCGAGAGAAATATCACAGCGCTCATTCGGGAGTCGCTTTCTCGACACGGGGATTCCGGCCTTTTCCCGCGCGTCATCCTCGTAATTCTGTGCCTATGGCACATCCTCGGGGATTAGCTGCTCCGACGCCCACGCGACCCACGCAACAATTGCGAAGCCGCGCTTATGATCGGAAGGCGTCCGATTGCGTGAGTCCCGAGCTTTGTGTAAGCCGGTAGAAAGATCCATTTTGGATCGGCGATATTCTACCGATGGACGATACACATCGAGCCCAAGGATTATCGTAGGTTACGAGGCTTAATGTCCATCGATATGCACGGGCGCTAATTATTTTTAGTTCCCCCGGCCTCCGAGCCGAACGAGATTCAGATAAGCTTTCGTAGTTTTGTTGGTTTTTCTCGTTATCGAGGCTTGTGCAACCCGTAGCTTAGATCGCTCGCTAATTATTCTAATCGGTGTATTGGCGCTCGCTGTCTTAAATAGATATGTTTTTATTCCTGTATAGATTAAGGACGCGTGTATTTAAATTACGCTTTAAGTTTCATGTCTGAATTATGTAAATAATTTGTTTTTAAAGTAGTTTAAAAGTTGATCCTAATCGATCAGAGTTCTTTTTATATTTGGTTCGGAAGGTTGAACGAGCCAATCATAATATAGAACTCGACTTACCTCTATTTTTAAACGGTTTTTTCTTTTCTTTTCGCTTGGCATATCTTGCGAAATCCGAAACGGAAGCTTCAATTTAATTATTATTTAGTATAATTATTAACTGCGCTTTTGCATTAATGCGAAGAATTATATTCTTCAAAACTTTCACCACTCAAAAGTGTAACGTAGGTTTCTTGCGATTTGTATTTTTCGATTTTACAACCAAAGAGTACTAATATTATTGGTTGAATTATTTAGAAATATTTAGCAAATGTTAATTATTAGAAAATTATCTATGCATCGATTGCTTCACTTATACACATATAAAAAAAATCACAGGAGTTTTTCGGTAATTGCTAATTTATACATAATTATTAGAGATGTCGAATGAGAAAAAGGATTTCTAGTTTAAGGTTTAAACTAGTCGCAAAGCGATACAAACACTGGTAAATGTAAACTTTTAATAATACGTGACGCTGCCGAATGAGATATGAAGCAAATGAAGATGAGATGTTAATCAATTATTACGTCAGTTTAAACTACGAAAATCATTGGTCCGTGTACGATAGAAATACAATCAGACGTCTGGCCCTTCCCCGGAATATATCGGCGCATGTATTTTTGAGTCCAATTAAATTGTCAAAATCTAAAGACAAATCATGCGCACCTGCATACGACGCATGCGCGTAGTCGACTACATGGCAGCCTAGTCGGCTGGTAGGGTGATGCGACTGACGGTCGCGGGCGTTTGGTGGCGAGAGGCCGAGAGGCTGAGAGGCTGAGGGATCGT